GGGCCTTCCGACTTTTTAGAGGACATATGTTGACTGCTGAACATCGACGCCGACCAATACGATGGGCTAATACAGTGCGACGGTGGCAGCGTCGGGATTAGCAACGTGTGATCTTTACGGACGAAAGCAGGTTCTGTTTGTTTAGAGTTGATAGCAGACAGCGTGTTTACCGTCGCAGAGGTGAACGGACAGCTGCTTGCTGCCTTCAAGAAGTCGTTCCTTACGGTGGAGGTGGCGTTATGGTGTGGGGTGGAATTTGTGGAAACCAGACAACGCCCCTCGTCGTCATCAATAGTAACCTCAATGCGCAACGCTACAGATATGACATCCTCAGTCTAGTATTTGTACACACTGTCCATGACAACCAAGTAGAAAACATCATACCTACATGACTATAATAAGTTGATGTCTTTAGCAGCTCTCCATCAAATAACCACTTCTCATAATATCGTAAATGACCACCGTTTCGACAAAACTAATATTTCTGTCTTGTCCATATTTATCTGTAAACCCCATGATTTACAATATTTACGTAAAATGTCAATCTTTCTTTGCAAACCAATACCATTGTCATCAAAAATACATAAATCATCAGCATACAACAATAACACTAGTTCGATTTATTCTACACCTATAAATGCATGTATACCTCTTACATCTGCATCTTCTATCATGGATTAAAATTCTGAAATAAACATTGCAAATAAAAACGGGCTGATAAAACAACCTTGTCTGACTCCACTTAAACTATCAAAATAATCAGTAATAATAGTGTTGGATATTCTTACAGCTGCTTTCATATTTGAATACATATTTCTCAGTACAGAGAATAATTTACCATGAACACCTTTATTCATTACTGAATACCACAGTAATTTCCTATTAACAGAATCAAATGCTTTCTTGAAGTCTACATCAATACAGTTAAAACGTCCGCCACTTTTAGATAAATACTTTTGTACAAGACATTGCAAAGTGAAAATATTATCCTTTGTGCAATAGCCTTTCCTAAATCCTGCCTGGGCCCCAGGTACACTGTTTAAGTGATCAGAAAAACGTTTAAGACGCGCAGTTCGAATAGAGGAGAATAACTTCCCCAAAAGATCCATTAAAGATATACCTCTATAATTATTAACACAGTCAAAGCTTCCTTTTTTATGGAGTAGTACAATAACACTCTTAGCCCATTCAGATAGAAAACTAGGCGTTGACAAAATATTGTTGTGCATAACTGACAAATATAGACAACAAATATGGACAATACTGCAACAATATACCATCTCAGCCTTAATACCATCTGGTCCTGCAGCTTTACCCCGCTTAATATCTTTTCTAGATAATTCGATCTCTTCCTGTGACATATCACCAATAAGAATATTTTTTACATCATCATCAGCACAGAAATCACACAATTGTTCATTATGGTTATTTATAACATAATGTACCTGCTCAATAATATCCGAGTCCACAAGTATATTAGTATGGTTTAAACTATTCTTAAGATACTCAGACCAATCTTCTTGGCAAATCTTGTTGGAAACAGGACTACAACTTATCTTCTTTGTCAATGCACTTATCTTTTTCCAGAATATTTTACTATCTCCACTACTGTCTACAAGTTCACGAACACAAGTCTCTTCGTATTCTAATCTCTTCTTCCTGTATAAAGACCTGTAACTATTCCTTAATGTAGAATATTTTGAGAGTATCTCCTTTTCGCCAATAACTCTAATCTTGTCTAATACATTGAGCTTTTTAGTCTTCACATCCTCACAGTCTTTTTCGTACCATTGTTTTCGAGATGTACGTTCTGATTTTCTAGCTCTAGAAAGTAATCCGCATATAATAGAAACAAACTGTACAGCGTTGGTCAAAGCTGCAACAGCTAAATCAAAATTCAAAGACAATAAATGCATAAACTCCTCCATGTGAAGTGCAGACAATGACTCAGAAACGTTATGTTTAAAGGCATCACATATTTCATTTCTCCATGTATATATCTAGGAATATTATTTACATGCATTTCATTAACATTATCTACCTGACTGTCACGTCCATGGAGGATAACTACGATTGGAGTGAGTGAGTGAGTGAGTGAGTATGGTTTTACACCGCTTTAAACAATATTCCAGCAATATCACGACGGGGGACACCAGAAATGGGCTTCACACATTGTACCCATGTCGGGAATCGAACCCGGGTCTTCGGCGTGACGAGCGAATGCTTTAACCTCTAGGCTACCCGACCGCCCCAGTACGATAGGAAAGTGATCTGATTCACAGCGAGTATGCATGCTAAAGTCGGAAATGTTATCGAATAAACTAGTTGAGCAGAGTACATAATCAACCAAACTGGCGCCACTCTCCTTAAAACAAGTAAACGATCCGACCTTATCCCCAGTAAATCGTCTGTTTAAAATATGGACAGCAAACATTTAACAAAAGTCTACCAGATCCCAGTGAGTCTGCACGTGAAGTTCCTGCCCCGTTGTCAGCCTGATTCAAAACTACAGTGAGTGAGTGAGTATGGTTTTACGCCGCTTTTAGCAATATTCAAGCAATATCGAGGCGGGGGACACCAGAAATGGGCTTCACACATTGTAACCTTGTCGGGAATCGAACCCGGGTCTTCGGCGTGACGAGCGATCGCTTTAACCACTAGGCTACCCGACCGCCCCCAAAACAACATCCTCACCCTAGTCAATACCATAGGTGTACACACGTCTGTCAATATACAACTTGTCAAATCTTTGATAAGCTAGTTGGTCGTTTCTCTTGGCCTCCATCCTCATCGATTCAGATGTCTCCTCTTCTCTCTCACTCTCCTCGAGAAGTCTTCGCTAATCCACATCGATGTACCCTTCAGTTTCTTAGCTGATGTAAAGATGTTTCGTCTCTGGTGATGATCGGGAATTAAAGCTATCATCACCTTACATCCCATGATCCTGTGTGCTCGATTGATCACTATCTGAGTCATCAATTCCAGCCGATCTTTAAGGACTTCTCTCACCACCGATTCACAATCATCCCAGGTTTTTATTTTGTCCAGATTCAGGTACACCGTGACATATCACGTTGGAAACCTATGATTGTGGGTTCGAATCCCGGTTCGCCCCGATTATGTTTCTAGGTTTGTCAGCACCATACCCGTGCTCGTGGGTTTCACCGAAGTGTTAAACGTCTGAGACCTGCATCACTTCGGGCTTTCCTCCCACATCTAGCTGACACGCCGTGATATAACTGGAATACTGTTAAAAGCGGCGTTAAACCCAACTCACTCACTCACTCAAGTTCGATCGCCTGCTTTGATGTTCAAGGTAGTTTATCTTCAAGTTTATAAACATACTCCTATTTTCCAACTCTAATACATAACATAACTGCAAGACTCTGAATAGATGCATACCGCCTCCGTGGTCTAGTGGTAGAGCGTCCGCCCGGAGAGCGTAAGGTCCGGAGTTCGATCCCCAGCCGCGTCATACCAAAAGACGTTAAAAGATGGTACGTGTTGTTACCCTGTCTGGCGCTCGGCATTAAGGGGCTAAAACAAGGACTGGTCGGCTCGGAGTCAGTATACTGTCTGAGTGGGGTATTCACGTTAAACTGCGGCATGGTATCTCAGTGAGCTAGCACTATAAATCGGCATCAGTCCGGACTAGTATCAGCAGCCACACAAACACACACACGTATATAAGTGCAATAATCTTGGACGCGACGTTAAACCCCATTTTCACCTCACCACCTGGACAGGCGAGTTAGAGTCCGACCACACCCTCCCGCCAACAGACAACTCTACAAGATGAAGGGAACCGCTGGCCACGTGACCTCATCAGACGTTTGACGTTTTCCGTCTGACGCGGAGTTTGTGCATGTATGGAGGCACAGGGTGGCCACATTCGGTATTAAAGTGACAAATTTTGTGACTGTGACCACTTTCCGTGTTTGAATGAATTGCAGCGAAAATCTGGACAACTGAATTTTCAACTCCCAAAATTTCTTCCTTTGTTTGTCTGGTGTACAATATTAAACCACAAAATTTCAAGTTTCAGTTGTTCAATACTTTGTGGAATTAGTGGTTTATTAAATATACATTACCTCAAACTTTTGATATTTTTAGTTTAAAAATTACTGTCACATCAAATTGTGAAATGTTCTTTTGCCGTTCAGTTTATATAGATCTTGTGTGTATAAAGGAGTTTTGACAGGCACGAATACCTGGACTGTTTTTGTATATTTTATGCCTATCCCCTTAAAGAAAGACCGCCTCCGTGGTCTAGTGGTAGAGCGTCCGCCCGGAGAGCGGAAGGTCCGGGATTCGATCCCCGGTCGCGTCATACCAAAAGACGTTAAAAGATGGTACTTGTTGTTACCCTGTCTGGCGCTCGGCATTAAGGGGCTAAAACAAGGACTGGTCGGCTCGGAGTCAGTATACTGTGTCTGAGTGGGGTATTCATGTTAAACTGCGGCATATAAGTGCAATAATCTTGGACGCGACGTTAAACCAAATTTCACCTCACCTCACCATTTAAAGAAAGCACTTTATATATATATATATATATATAACTAAAATGTGAATCACGTAGCCTGTTAAGCACAGAAGATGAATTTGATGTGTTATATATTTGTAAAAAAAATAAAGTTCGTCTAAGATATCTTCCTGAGAAATATTTAAAACATGTATAGACTTCTAAATACATGTACTACAATGATTGATGAAATGAGAGATGTTATTTTTCTGAGGGATGTGTTTGCACTACGTTAATACAAACTTTTATCTGACATTTTAGAGTCTTCTGTATGGCCCAGAATATTAAACAATGTCATTCTGTCCTGGTCCGTTCTATAAATTTCAAGCTTATTTCGGGACCACGTTGGATATGAAAGGGTCTTCAAAGAATGTCGGTTTCATAAATATTGTGTAACGCTATGAACGTTAAAAATGTTTTCTTTGCTTTAGTGCATGGATAATATACATTGTGAATTGTAATACTATTTAATTCTTACCTTCTGCCATGACAATGTCCCCACTCATGAAGCAGGCCCCTAAACACAACATCATCGTCAACGACTTCGCCAACGCCTCCATGTTGTCCAGCTGCTGTTGTTTGTGTCCGAACACCCAGACTGCGCCAACACGCTCTGTCCGTCAGTCAGTCAGACGCCTCCCTTTTTATCAAGGAAACCGGCGCATGGCCTGACTGGAAAACCGGTTGCTGTTTCGGTTGTGATATATTTCCGCTTGAAACAAAAGGATTGCGTATTGCAACTGGGTCATTTGCATTCATCATGGAATTCTCATATAGTGTTCAGCTGATGTTTGAGACCACCCCCGCCTTCCGGTCGCGTCATACCAATAGGCGTTAAATTTTGTTTGTTGTTTGTTTTGTAACGCCATATTCAACAATATTATAGCTATATGACGGCGGTCTGTAAATAATCGAGTTTGGACCAGGCAATCCAGTGGTTGACATCATGAGCATCGATCCACGCAATTGAGATACGATGGCATGCGTCAACCAAGTCAGTGAGCCTGACCACCCAATCCCCTTTGTCGCCTCTGACGACAAGCATTGTCACCTTTTACGACAAGCATGGGTTTGCTGAAGACCTTTCTAACCCGGATCTTCACGGATCCAATAGACGTTAAAAGGTGGTACTTGTTGTTACCCTGCCTGACGCACGGCATTTATGGGACAAAAGGACTGTTCACCTCGGAATCAGTGTTCTGTGACTGAGTAGGGTATTCATGTTAAAACTGCGGTGTGGTATCTCAGTGAGCTAGCACTATAAAACTGACATTAGTCCGGACTAAACTGAACCGAAACACAAATCTTAGCGCGTTCCTAGTTGACGCGTTTAGGCCTAGACATCATTAGGATTGCGTTTAACAGCTGAGCGTGTTTAGGGTCTAAAAGTTGGAAGACACGTATTCCCCCCTTAAAATGCATTGTAGGTAATTTAGAAAAGGATCGCTTTCAATATGTTTTTTTTATCGTTTAATGGGCACACAGAAGTATGGGGACATGATTAAAACAAATTGGGGGCCTGTCGTAGTTATCAGATATACTTTCATTGTCAGCTTCCCTTTTCTGTAGGGGCGGTCGGGTAGCCTAGTGGTTAAAACGTTCGCTCGTCACGCCGAAGACCCGGGCTCGATTCCCGACATGGGTACAATGTGTGAAGCCCATATCTGGTGTCCCCCGCCGTGATATTGCTGGAATATTGCTAAAAACGGCGCAAAACCATATTTGCTCACTCAATCGCTTTTCTGTGATATACTACTAGTCATAGACCAACAATATATTTATTGATACAACCATTTTGAAACTGGGCGGGATACGAAACTACAATCTTTTGATTTTCAGTCGTTATCGCTGCCCCCCGGGATACGGAGACTTAACTCTTTTTCGTTTCACATCTAAAACTTCCTGATGACTTTTAACTTTGCTTGATTTCTGTTAATATTGCACCAAAGTTCGTTATAAGTTCTAGTGATGTGTGTGTGTGATACAAGTGCCTGTGAAACTGACTTGCATATTTAATTTCAATGTTTATCATTCATATTATCCATAATTGACTTAATACCCAGTGATATGCATTTCATTTGAAAATATTTAGATTATTAAGATAATACGCAATGATATGCATTTTGTCGTAAACATGTTTAAACGTTTTAAAATTCTAAACATGTTGAGATTATGGGGAAGGTATGTTTAGGTGGTGAAACGATATCTAATTTCATGTGTTTAGACGCTAAACGTGTCTAGATAGTGAGTGAGTGAGTGAGTTGGGTTTAACGCCGCTTTTACGGTATTCAAGTCATATCGCGGCGTGTCAACTTAATGTGGGAGGAAAGCCCGAAGTGATGCAGGTCTTAGACGGTTACCACTTCGGTGAAACCCACGAGCACGGGTATGGGGCTGACAAACCTAGAAACATGATCGGGGCGAACCGGGATTCGATCCCACAATCATAGGTTTCTGGCGTACCCAAGGGACGCAACTCTGCACAGCGAATCGCGGCGCCTTAGACGACTGGGCCACCCGTGCCCCCGTGTCTCGATAGAACCTGGGATCTTTACACTCGTTGTTTGAAGTATTGGTGTAAAATAATAATTATGCCTGAACACCGTTTACCCAAGAAAGCCTACAACATGCTCGTACACCTCGACAATCTTGGAAAGAACACATGGGCTTCTTGTATTCGTACATTGCTTTTTACATATGGCTTTGGTTTCATTTGGCTGTCCCAGACAATTGGTAATGCAAATGCTTTCATTAAGTACTTTCGCATGCGTGCCATTGACATGTTTCATCAGAAATGGCATTCAGATATTTATGAAAGTTCAAGATATGATACTTATCGCCAATTCAAGTCATTGCTTGAACCAGAATCCTATTTATCAAATTTACGGTACAGGAATTCTCGTAACACCCTTATTCGTTTTAGACTTGGCCTGAATGATCTAAAAATTAACACAGGGAGATTTTCATCTATTGAGAAATCGATACGATTATGCCCTTTTTGTGACATTGTTGTCGAAGATGAATACCATTTCATGTTTATTTGCCCTATATACGAAAATCTAAGAGACAAGTACTTACCGCAGTGGTCTCTATCTCATTTCAATGCTAAAAGATTGTCTTCATTACTGTCTTGCAAGGATCTTATAACACAACATCAACTGGCTTTGTACATACATAATGCTTTTTGTTACGAAGTGAATTGTTACCTTGACTTTGTATTTTATAAAATATGTTATGTAACTCCGTTGTATATGGGCATGTGGCCTTTCATACAATAAAGAATTGAATTGAATTGAGTCTATATCTTTACTTATGTATATTCTCTCCGAAAGAACACACCAAGTGTGTATTTCGTTTAAGATTTGAACACATTCCTAAACATGATTACATCTAAACATGTTTGTATGTATTTACATTCTTAACACATTGCATCAGACCCAATTGCATGGATCGATGTTCATGATTTTGATCACTGGATTGTCTGTTCCAGACTCGATTATTTACAGACCGCCGTCATATAGGTGTAATATTGCGGTGTTGGCGTTAAACAACAAACCAAACAAACCAAACCAAACCTTAACATATTGTTTACAGTGTAGGACATGAAACGACTATCCATTGCATTGCCCACCACGTGCATATCCTGCACGGACTAATATAGTCCTGTCACAAACTATATCTAAAGACAGAATCACCTCATTGACGTTTCTGTGTTATAATGGGGATATTTTTGATTACACGGAAACACATCTGCGTGACTCCACAGGGCCACGGATAGTCATACTATACTGACTGTACTGATTACATTAAAGAAAGAGCTCTTTTTTTAATGTAATCAGTACAGTCAGTATAGTATGGCTATCCGTGGCCCTGTGCGTGACTCAGTCGGTCAGTGTGTGTGTCATAACGGGGACATAGTTGACTACAGGAAAAACATTTGAGTGACATAATCGGTCAGTATTTGTGTTATAACGGGGACAGTGTTAATTACAGGAAAAAACACCTGAACGACTTGATCGGTCAGTGTTTGTGTTATAATGGGGACATCGTTGGCTGGAGGAAAAAAACCCATTTGAGTGACTCAATCTGTCAGTGTTTGTATTATAATTTGGACATCGTTGGCTAGAGGAAAAAAACCCATTTGAGTGACTCAAATGGTCAGTATTTGTGTTATAACGGGAACATTGTTTAAACATTATCAACAGGAAATAACTCTTGCTATTTCCCTGATGTGTTGACAGATAAGTACAGCTGAAATTTAGAAGCACTTGTCGTAGTGCTACTGTGTTGTGCTAGAAAATGATGTTTGAGTGAGTGAGTGAGTGAGTTTAGTTTAACGCCGCTTTGAATTGTATTTCACTCTTAAAACGGCGTGTTAATTGGTGTGGAAGAAAAACCTAAAATGATGTACGACTCAGACGTTTACGACTTTAGTGAAACCAACAATCATGGTTATGGTGCTGACACACCAAGAAACAAAATCAAGGCGAACCGGGATTCGAACCCATGATAATTGATTTCTGGAATGAGTGAGTGAGTGAGTATGGTTTTACGCCGCTGTTAGCAATATCCAAGCAATATCACGGCGGGGGGCACCAGAAATGGGCTTCACGCATTGCACCCATGTCGGGAATCGAACCCGGGTCTTCGGCGTGACGAGCGAACGCTTTAACCACTAGGCTACCCGACCGCCCCATTTCTGGAATGCCTAAGGGACGCAACTATGCAAAGCGAATTGTGGCACCTGAGAAAATCCCCGTGTACATTGTGAAACAGCGAAACATCGTTAATTCGAAGTCTGTAGAACCATGGAATAGTTCAGGCTATCCGACAACGAGGCGGTGGGGCAGCCTCCTGGTTAACGCGTTCGTTCGACCCGCCGAATGTCCGCGATCGATTCCAAACATGGGTACAATGTGTGAAGCCCATTTCTAGTGTCCCGTGCTGGAGTATTGCTAAAAGCGGCGTAAAACGATACTCATTCACTATCCGACAGACTTACGGCAATACACTAATATCCTCGGAAACATTCTGTAGTGAAACCTCGTTAATCCGAATGATAACTTTCTCTGTGATTTCATGCAGATTAACACATGTCTGGATAAACGAATCATGGCTCATTGGTAATTCCGCCTTCACAATGTTGCAGTCAAATTCCGGGTTAGAACTGGTTTTCAGCAACCCATGGTTGTGCCCCCGTGGAGATCCGGGTTAGAATGGGTCTTCATGCTTGTGCCCCCGTGAAGATCCGGGGTAGAACTCGTCTGCAGCAACCCATGCTTGTGCCCCCGTGAAGATCCGGGTTAGAATGGGCCTTCATGCTTGTGCCCCCGTGAAGACCCGGGTTAGTACTCGTCTTCAGCAACCCATGCTTGTACCTTTGAAGATCCAGGTAAGAATTGGTCTTCAGCAACCAATACTTGTACCCTAGTTAAGATCCAAGTAAGAATTGGTTTTCAGCAACCCATGCCTGTGCCCTAGTGAAGATCCAAGTAAGAATTGGTCTTCAGCAACCCATGCTTGTACCCTAGTGAAGATCCAGGTAAGATTTGGTCTTCAGCAACCCATGTTTGTAACCTTAAGGTGCAGGTAAGAATTGGTCTTCAGCAACCC